GTGTACCAAGTCCATTAGAGCAACTCCACCCATGGAGCTCTCCCCCTTGGCAATCCACTATTGAATCCACCATATTGAACAGTAACTGCCTTTAATGAATAGTAACTGCCATTAATGAACAGTAATTGCCATTTGCGTCTCCACCCTTGGAGCCCTCCCCCCCCGCAATAGGCAATAAAATATTAGTTTTTTTGTTTGTTTAAATAATACAAAATAAAATTATTTGTAATTTCGGATAAGATTTTTTAAATCGTTCTCGTTGCGCCTCGTGTCATTTTATAAAAAAAAACAATTATTTAGCGATGGAGTTCGATAAGATTTTTATCCAATGTCATGGTACCACGTGTCGTTATCTTTTGAGAATCTTTGACGATAGATTTCGATCGGATTTTAACTCGTTCAAAATTGCGCCACGTGTCATTATCCGAAAAGATAATTATTGGAGATCGATTTCGATAAGATTTTTATCCAATATGATCGTGCCACGTGTCATTATCTTTTCAGAATCTTTGAGGATAGATTTCGATCAAATTTTTAACGAATGACGGCATGCCACGTGGCCTCATCTACAATCCGATCCTTTCTGAATCGTCCATATAATCCACCATCCATCCTCACAAATCTCACACCAATTTTCTCAACATCTCTATCTCATTATTCATAGTTTCTGCTTCTTGTTCACCATCCATCCTTACAATGTCTTCTTCTTCATCAAGGATGATGTGGGAAATCGATCAGCAAGAGGAAGAATTGTTTAACCAATCTGAAGGAATGTTCAACCTTCAGATAGCCGAAAATGAGATGGAAGAGGATGAGGAGCGTAGAAGGAGAGATGACGAAATAAGAATGGCCAGAGCCTCACATTCCCGTCGAGTCATCCAGACTGTTACTCAGATATGCAGGCCCAGCCATTCAAGAAACCTTGATAGAAGCAGGCAACAACGGGGTGAAGAGCTGTTGGACGATTACTTTGTCCATAACAGTGCATTTCCTGATACGTACTTCAGACGCCGTTTTAGAATGGAACAACATTTGTTCAACAGAATCATGACTGATGTTTGCAACCATGATTCTTACTTTGTGCAAAAGAAGAATGTTTGTGGTGTTATGGGTCTCCTGCCTGAGCAAAAAATCACTGCTGCGTTGCGGATGCTTGAGTATGGAGCATCTGTAGACCAAGTGGATGAGATAACGAGGATGGGGAAATCAACCATTCTTGAGGCCCTGATGAGGTTTTGCGGAGCAATCGAATCTTTGTACACCGCTGAGTACCTCCGAAAACCTACTCACATGGACTTGCAAAGGCTTCTGAAGAAGGGCGAGATGCGAGGTTTTCCTGGGATGATAGGAAGCATCGATTGTATGCACTGGACATGGAAAAACTGTCCAAGTGCATGGCAAGGCGCATATGGGGACAGAAAATGAGCAAAATCTATCATTTTGGAGGCAGTGGCATCTTTTGATACATGGATATGGCACGCATTTTTCGGGGTTCCGAGGGCTCAAAATGATCTCAACGTCCTTGCCCAATCCCCAATGTTCAACGACGTCCTACAAGGAAAGGCACCAAAAGTCACGTACATCATCAACGGACGTAGGTACGACGGGCCATACTACCTAGCTGACGGCATTTACCCACGGTGGGAAACATTTGTCAAAACAGTGCCACGTCCGTGAAGTGCAAAGGAAAAACACTTTGCAAGCTGTCAAGAGGGGTGCATGAAGGATGTGGAGCGTTGTTTTGGTATCCTTCAAGCTCGTTGGGCGATCGTCAGGGGTGCTGCCAGAATGTTCGATGTAGAGTCACTTCGATCCATCATGATGACGTGCGTCATTCTTCACGACATGATTGTGGAAGATGAGTTCGATTATGATGCGGTTGATGAATATGAGCCAGAGCCAGACACGATGAACAATTCAAGAACAAGAATATATTGTGCGCATGATGCCACCGAAGAACCCGTGCAACACGAGCCATTAGAAAGGGATGGACGTTACAATGAAATGGTCATTCAACAATATACTGCACTTCAAAGGTCATTTATGCACAATGATCGGCAAATTGACTTGATAGAGCACCATGGGCATTGAAACAAGCTGAAGATACTTAAGTTTATTTAGTATGTTTGTTTGTATTTGGTGTGTTTATGTAATTTTATTTGGTGTGTTTTTTGTAGTGAGTTTTTTATTATTTCGTATGTTTATGTAATTTTATTTAGTGTGAATTATTTGATATGTTTATGTAATTTTATTTGGTGTGTTTTTTGTAGTGAGTTTTTTATTATTTCGTATGTTTATGTAATTTTATTTAGTGTGTTTATGTAATTCCAATTGGTGAGTTTTTTAGTTTTATTTGGTGTGTTTTATAATTTCATTATACGTGAACAATTTGATGAATAAAGATTCTATTATTAGGATAAATATATTACGAAATTAAATACATGTACTCTCACTTTAAATAAAGTACTAACTTCAATAAAATGGAAACAACATAAATAATAAATTACAACCCAAAGTGATTGGAAAACTATGGGCTCCGATTACAAAAAGTACCCTATTCATCATCACTTAACCAATCTGTGGTGCTAGGATCATCTTCTCTTGTTGTGCTAGGACCATCTTGTCTTGATCTCGCTTCTCTTGCACACCTCATTTGCACCACATCCGCTTTCTCCGACTGCCAAAAATATTTAGAATTTGGAGACATCCATTCTAAACGCGTGTTCATAATGTCACGATCTCGTTGTGCAATTCTTTCTTCTCTAAGCAACTCCCTTTCTTGCCTAAGTAGCTCTCTTTCCCTCTGTTCAGCTTGAAATGCTTGTTGAATAGCTGCAACTTTTACCTCATCTCTAGCCTTTTCAGCCTCATATTTCGCCAATTCCCGCGCCAACGTCAATTCACCTTGATGAGCAAGTTCTTGCATGTACTTTCCATAATCATTCTTGGAAGCACTCCCTTTCCTCTTTGAAGCCTTCTTACCTTGAGGCCTAATTGGATAACGGGTCGTGTAACATCCCACATCGCCCAGGGGAGTGATCCTTAAATGTATATTCACATCCCTACCTAGCACGAGGCCTTTTGGGAGCTCACTGGCTTTGGGTTCCGTAGGAACTCTGAAGTTAAGCGAGAAGGGGGCTAGAGCACTCCCAGGATGGGTGACCCACTGGGAAGTTGCTCGTGAGTTCCCAGAAACAAAACCGTGAGGGCGTGGTCAGGGCCCAAAGCGGACAATATCGTGCTACGGTGGTGGTGCGGGCCCGGGAAGTGATCCACCCCGGGCCAGGATGTGACAGGTCGACCCCGACACTTGTTCAGGAATGGGCGTTTCAGGCACTTCTTCTCCATCTTCTTCATCAACATGGGAGCCATGATCGGGTGTAGAGTGTGGAGGGGTAATGTGTACAAAGGTGCTGTGTAGAGAGATGTTGTTCATGCATACTTCTGGACCAACAGGCACAACTTTGAATTTAGGACAATCTTTAACAATATTCCAACATTCCCACCGGTTGAATGATTTGTTTCTTGATTTGATTTTGGCAGCATACCATGCTTGTGCTTGAAGTTGCTACAAATAATAATAATGAAATTATTAGGTAACAAATAAATAATACAAACAAATAATAATAATGAAATTAGGTCACAAATAAATAATGCAAACAAATAATAATAATAATGAAATTAGGTAACAAATAAATAATACAAACAAATAATTATAATCAAATTAGGTAACAAAATAATAATACAAACAAATAATTATAATATATTCTTACCTCATCCGCATAATTTGCCCCACTTCGAACATTACTGCTAGCTTGTGTCAAGGCATCTCTCCACGTACTAAAGGAATGGCTAAGTATTTTCCAACGACTGGACATCGATTCTTTGGTTCTTTTCCCACTCATTTGCTCAAGAAATTTGGTATGAATTAAACTCCATATTTCTCGCAACTGCATCTCATTACCCGTAAGGGAATTATGAGTAACTTCAACCCAGCTAGTGCACAACGCAACATCTTCAAGAAGCGACCAATTCGTACCTGCATCAGTAGTCATTTTGTGGAAAAAAAATTGGATTGAAACTTTGAGAGAAATATAGGAATTTGATTGAAAGTAGTTGAGAAAATATGAAATTGTGGTGTAAGGTAGATGGAGAAGAAGTGGTATTTATAGAAAAGTAAAAACAATTTTTTACAAATTTTTTTCAGATTTTTTACATTTTTTTCTGATTTTTTCCATTTTTTTTAATTTTTATTCAAATAATTAATCTCTGCTGTTGGATTTTAAAAATTTTGAATTCCAACACTCCAGATTGTGCCACGTGTCACAACAGTAACTGTTCTTAATTTTAAAACTATTTTTTCTTTATTTATAAAGCATATTAATATCGACCGTTGATCTCAGATCGAACGGTTGATATTAAATAAGATTTTTTTTTTTTTTTTACCGTTGAGATCCAACGGTCCAAATTAAGGAGCCGTTGAGATCGAACGGACCGTGGGAAGCCATGTGGCTTCCCAATGGTAACTCAGACCACTGCAAAAGTGGACTGCTTTTCTGAAAAGCTATCGGGCGACGCACCCCCACGCGCGAGTGGGGTGCATGCGCCTGACAGAAAAAAATAAAAAAAGGGTTTGGAGCTCGGGCTCACGGGCTGTCAAAAGTTGACAGGCCTTCTGCTCGGGCATTCTCACCAGCTCGGGCTCTTCAAGGCTGGAGTTGATTCACAGGGCCTCGGGCCCTTTCCTCTCCCCTGTCCCCCGGGCAACTCCCATGGCTAGAGCTGCTCTTAAATGGGGTAAAACATACTGTATTTAATATGTATTATTAAAAAATGAGTAAAATAACGTTTAGTAGTGAAAAGTACGTGTATGGTACGGGAGTTTTAAAAATGTGCGATTTAACGAATCAGTAAAATTATATATATACTAAAAGAGAAAACAGCCTAAAACACTGTTCATAGCACAGTGCACTGACAATTTTGCCCTTGCTTTGGTTCTTTTATTTCCTTTCTGCCAAAATCGCAGTTGGTGCCCGTCTCTGGCGCCACTCCTGATTTACACGTGTTGTTGGTAATGTACACGTGTTCGTAATCTTGAAAGAAGAAGGCGGAAAAGCCGACCTTTATCCATTTGCTTCCAGAAACAACGAGCTCTCTCTCGCACAGCAACCACAAGCTCTATTTTGGAGAAACTACGAAACATCTTGACTTCTCTCTCAGAGCCCAGCTCGAGTCCTCAGGTAAAAATGAGAAATGCTGATGGATAATTTTTCTCCGATACTTGATTTTCTTGGTTTGTTTCTACTGATCTTTTGTTTCTTGGGTTGATTGCACTTCTTTTTCGTTATTTTTGATGCAGATATGAAGAGGATTTGTGAAGTTGCTGTGATTTCATGCTAAGTTTCTTTGAACGGATTTGAGAATTTGGGATCGTTTGGGGTGTTTTGAAGGTTTTTTTTTTTTTTTTTTTTTTTGGGGAAAAAAATGGTTAACATGTCCTCTGTTAGGATTTTCCTGGCAAAGAGTATAGAGCAAGGGAAGGGAAAAATGAGAGAGACACGGATTGGAGCATTTTTTTTTAATACGGGTTGAGGCTTTTTTTTTAATTGATTTGGGGTTCTGTTTGGGTTTGGGGTTGTGATATTTCTGTGTTTAATTTGGTATTTCATAGTTTGGAGTTGAGCGGTTAATTTTTTGGACCTTATGATCTCATTTGTGATTATCAAGTGCATAATGGTTAATTTTTTTTGAAATGGTGCTCAGAATTATCACCATTTTTCCCCTTTAATTTTCGGTGGAAGCACTGTTCTCTTCATGCTAATTGTTGAATTGTTCGAACCAGTCTGTTGTATATATATATTTTCCCCGTTCCTCTGTTTGTTGTCTGTATAAGTACGAATTCATCAATTTATCAATTGGGTTGTTCTTCGTTTGTAATTTCATTAATTGGGTCTTTAGATACATTTTATTGTTGAGGAGGTGAGATGTTGCCTACAATAGGCATCAACTATTACAAAAACCTTTTTAATGAAGAAACAAGAGAAATAGAGACAATGAAGATTGTAATCAACAGCTGGGGGGCATAATCGTTTTTGATACCTTAAAAAGAATGAAAAACAAAACTCAATGTTTGGATACAAAGAAAATTAGGAAGTCAGATAGATGTTAACATAATGAAAATAATTCCACCGCTTTCCTCCTCTAACTTGATGACCATGCTTTTGGAACAATGTTTGATGAGTTCTTATTTCGAATGTGTTTGCCTTACCATTGTAAATTGCTGGAGGTCCTTTTGTTCTTTATCTTGCTCACAAGCATATTGATATGTAAATGTATGTAATAATTTGTGTACTGATAGGATATATGCATTACACATGTTATGTTTGTTACTGTTTTAAAGCATTATTAGATAGCATGTTGCATATTCTTTTAATACTTACTTTGTTATTGCAAATTTGTGAATCTTATACCATAGCAAATCTTATGAATTCTCTTTTTCCACTGTATCCAAGGTTGGGCAGATGGTGTGCTTCGATGTATCATTTTGATAGCTTTTGATAGCTTTTGTGTAATTTTTTTTTCACTGCAAGTTTGTAAACATTTACATATTGCCAACATAGATTTTGATATATAAACACACTTTCTTTCTAACAATATATATACTTTGTCTGCAGACTTACAAAACAATGAGCATCGTACCAATCTGTGAATTAAAGCCTTTTAGAAACAATATGAAGATCAAAGTTAGAATATGCCGGTTGTGGAGACCCAAAATGTTTGGACGCCAAAACCAATTCAATGGCTTACAATGTGTACTGGTTGATGAACTGGTGAGAGAAAACCATTTTTGTTTAAATGTAATATAGTTAAAACTATAATTTCAAAAAGAAGAGAAAGCTATAAATAACTCTTTATAATTTTTGTAATGCAGAATGATGCCATTGAAGCCTCGGTCTTAGAAGCAGACTATGAGATAGTAGCTCCAAAAATTAAAGTTGGTTGTATATATGAGATCACACGGTTGCATAGCCGTTCCAGTAAACAAACGTACAAGGTCGTACCACACACTGTACAACTATACTTCAATGGGAAAACAACTTTCAAACAAATACCAGAAAGACCTCCACACATTCCTGAGCACCGCTTTTATTTAGTGGATTACAGTGAATTGTTATCCCGTGTAGATAAAGTTGAAATTCTCACAGGTAATTAAACACATTTATAAACCTACATCTATATGCCATTTTTGTTTGTCAACATTTTTTCATGCTATAATCTTATGATATTGGATTGCCAAATTGCAAGATGTTATGGGACATATCACAGCAGTGCAACCATTGGAAGACAGAATGGTTAACAAAGAAAGACTAGAAACAAATGTGACGTTCACCTTCAAAACACCAGGTAATCATTTTATCATGTGGTAATCGTTCATTAGACATTGAATACGTGTCAAGCGTATATTCAACTATAACATAACTGACATTATGGGAAAGAATAGGCAATTGTATTTAGATGGGTGGAATACAAAAACTATTGATGCAGGAACCTGAACCTATGGTGATCCATATGCAATTTAAGGTGATTTCATTAATGAGTAATCAAGTTCTGTTTTTAATTTTTTCTTCTTTTGATATGTGAATGTCGATTGTCGAAGAACTGAAGGTTGCTAGGTTGGTGAAAATCTGAAAGTAAACGAGTTGGAAATGCTGTGCACAGAAATGGAGTGTTCTGCAAAATGGTTTTCACACACACATATATGGACTCCAAAAGTAAACGAGTTGTAAATGTTTCGTAATATTTTGCTCTAACTTCTTTGGTCAGAAACGAAGAAGTGAGAGTTACACTTTGGGGAGACTGCGCCAGGACCTTTGATATTGAAGTTGTAACACAACAACTATCACCAATTGTGGCTGTGTTCACAAGTCTCAAAGTAAAACGGTTCCTAGGTATACAACTTAACTTTACTTCTTTCCAATGTTTACATTGTATTACAAAAAAAATAACATGCTTCCACATCTGCAAACCCACAGGAAACACAGTGCTTAGCAGTACCAGATGCACTTTGTTTTTCATAAACCCAAAAATACCAAAAGCAACAAATTACAAATCGATGTAAGTTTTTTTTACCATTTTCTGAACAATATATATATATATATATATATATATATATCACTCAAATAATATTAAAATTCAATCTCATTGTGTTGCCACTTAACACAAAAATGTGCAAAAACTTTGCCAGTTCCAGTCATGCTTTGAAAATGATTCCAACCTCAGCATAACTAATGACACCAGATCAATTGGATGCCGCTGAAAAACTATCAGTAGGGCAATTGAATATCTTGGATCCAAATCTTTATCAGGTAAAATGGAATGCATTCCAAATTTAACAATGTTGTATATTTAACAGTGTTATATTGGTCTCAAAATTCGTTTTTCTGGGTTGTCAGCTTTTGTATCCATGCAATTAGTATAATAGAAATTCTGTTTTGATTGCACAGACAGTTTTCATTGATGTCTGAAACATTTCCTGAAAACTGGATGAAGAGTATAAGAATGTAGGTTCGTGTCTGTTCAAATTATACTCATCATTCTTTAACAAATATTGCAGAACACTCCATTTCTGTGCAGAGCAGCAGTTGCACGGTTTGATTTGAGTAACGGCTGGTGGTACAAGGCATGTCCAATCTGCTTCAAACAACTAAAACCAAAGCCTCAAAGTGACCTGCTGGTTTGTCCAACTAATGATATTCAAAACCCTATTGCTTGGTAATACAAAATTACTCTGAATCTATTACTATATAAAACATAAACTTAATTATACTTCTTTATAAATAATCACATCAATTTCAACGCAGGTTCAAAGTTAGTTTAATTCTTGAAGATGCCAATGACGAAACCAATGCCATCATTATAGGTAAATCAGCCGAAGAACTATTTGGAATCACATGTGAACAATTAGTAATCAACAAAAGTTTCTGTGACCAAAAGGAATTACCACAACAAATACTCCGAGTAAAAGGTCAAATCAAACTTTTCCAACTCAGACTTGGGAAAGTTAAAAGTGACACAAGCAGAAATGACTTGCTCATCCAAACTGTTTTCAAGGATCAAGCACAAATTCACCCTTCAAACAACAACAAAGATGATGAAGCAATAAGTAACCTTGGGAAGAAACATATGGTTCATGAAATGTTACCATGCACACCACCACTCTCACTCAAGAAATCTCTACCTTCATCTCCAACTGAGAGCAGTTCAAGTTCAAAGAAACGACAAAGGGAGCCAGTCAAAAAGAGTCTTTTCACCTCTACACCAACAAAAAAATCTAAAAGGTTAGTCTTTATAAAAAAATAAATAATTGACATAAACCTTTTTTCCATTACTAGATGTGCACTGATGCTTTAATCTCTCTTCATTTTACATGATCCAAGTGATACCACAAGTGGATACAGTGAAGAGACCTATGCATTTGAAGAGACCGATGACGAGAATGTAGCAAACACAGATAAAACTCCCAGTGAATAGAGTATGGATCCCAACACTCATAAATCAATTTTCTTAACAATTTTTTTTTCCCATCTTCAATGAGTAGTTTCTCTAACACAGAACTATATCTTATAAATATTGCATAATATAGATAAAAATATTTCATTTGGGTTGTCGATGAGACCAACTGGAAAATCTAGAGAATTTATTTAGTATGGCTGCAAAATATATGCAATTTAGAGTCATTCAATTCTTATGTCAATGTTTTTTTTTCTTCAGTTCATCGTTGTCATGCAAGATGGAGGAGGCACCATTAACGTGAGGAGTTACGTATATGGGTGTCTTTAGTGAAACAAATCTTACTTTTTGAGCTGTGTATAGTTTTAGACGTAAAAGTCTCCCTGGGATAGGACCATAGCTTTTGAAAAACAATCTTTGAGGATGATATACTAACATCCTCAACTTTTACAAATGTAATATATGTATATCCCTTACTTTGGCACATATTTTCTCATGTATATAAGCCCTACTTTGTACACGTTTAAGATCATTTTGAAACCCGCAGCATCGCGCGGGCCTCAATTGCTAGTGTATACTGAAACCGGAAGTATATTTTAAAAATAGGTAAGTACATGTATTGATGTACTTCTGCCCAATATCATTATCTTCACCTCTTTTTACTCATTGATGCTGAAGAAAAGACCCTGTACAAAAGAATGGGACTTGTACATATTACAAGTTTACGACACAACATTACAAGAGAAATCTCAGTATCCCAACCAGCTAAAACAGCCTAGAAAGAAAAGGAAAAATGCCGGGGCGGATGTAATGCCAAGTAGAACCTGAATTTACAGCAGAGGCGTTCATGGCTTGCTACTCTGGACTAATTGAACAACCATCCTGTTAACAGTTTCCTTTGTTGCAAGATTATCACCGTCAGCTACAACCTACAAATTATATTTATATGTCACGAAAAGCCCGAATTGTGCATCTTATCACAGGAAGCAGTAACGGCATTCTGTATAGACTTTTCATAAGCCGCAAAGAGGACTTCAAACGTCCTTTAATAAAAGGAAATGCTCCCTGGAAACAAAAAAAAGTACTCGATAAGAGTTTACCTGAGCAAAGATCTCCAAAATCCTAGACTTATATTGACTGTTAACGCCCAAAAGAATGTCGTGAAACCTGAAATTCAATACAATTTGCAAACTAAATTCAATTTCATGTTAAGGACGAAGCAATGATCACATGTACTTGAAACTTGAAAGAAGAAAGTGATATGGTTGAACTAGGAGCAATCTACATGTTCAACGTGTATAACGAAAATTGCTTACTCTTCAATCATTGCAGAGAGTCGTGCATGTACGAGTTTGGCTTCAGTGGTGTCATTTTTCAGTGGTAAGAAGTCCAACCATTTGCCAACAAACTGACAAGTAGAATCAAATAACAACATATTGAGAATCAACCCATAAATTCATAGTGGGAGCAACGTGCTTGAAGAACAACAATCTGTGCAGATATCCTAAAGCATAGTACAGTTTTCCCTAAAATTGTCCAACTAATCGAGATGCTGCTATAAGCTTTTCACGATGCAGCTAAATATATTTTCGTATTTCGCAAAGAAATAATTTTTTTGACCCCAATTTCATTTTGCAATTGCAACATCGAAACTTGATTGATAATAGCCGCTTGAGATCAGCAGCCAAACTAAATGACACAATAAAATCTGATGATAAGGACAGCCTACATTCTGGTATCCATAGCAGCAAGTATGTTGAGAAAAGCATATGATGTAATGTGTCCTATAATGTGGGTGTATACATTGACATATGATGTAACCAAAGAATATGTACCTTTGCAATATTCTTAGAGATAACACACAACATCGTGTAATTTATGTAACCAAAGAATATAGTAATGTGTCCTAGAGAAGGAAAGGAGAAATTGAAACTGTGTCCGTAGAGTGAAAAGGTAAGCATATTTGTGGGAAAAGATGGAGGAGACAGTTACCTGAGGAGCATTAATACTCTTGAAATAAGACCCACATATTCTCCCAAGAGATGACACAGCAATCACATGTGCCGTTGGATTGTTTGAGCTTGATGTGCCTGGATGTCTAATCACAGAATCCAGACTTTTGGCAGCCTCTAAAGGAAGTCCATGGGATCCCACATTAACCAAAAGTGACTATAATTTATAACCCCTGGCAAAATAAAAGAATGGGAAGAAGCTACCTTCAGCGAAAGGTTTGAATTCATTAATGCCAAACTCTGCACAAGTACCAATTCCGCGTACAGCTTGCTGCAATGAGAAAGCGAAACATAAGGTCATTGAAGCATTAGAGAGTACCATATCCATGGGGAGGACAAAGACGAATAGCACCTGTCTAACACATGGATCATGATCCTTGCAAGCTCTCAAGAGGAATGGAAGGAATATAGAACAATATCTGTCCACCAAATATGAAATATGTATCTTAAAAAAAACCTACAGAAGACACTGGATAATCGAGGAAAATGCACTCACTTAGAAGCAGGTTCTTGGCTTTGTTGCACAAAATAGTTGAACAGAAACACAACAATTTTTGCATTAACTGTATGACCATCACCCTGCATTTAGTATAACATTAGAAAGCAACGTGAAACCTTATAACAAGAGAAACCAGAAGCTTCGGGCAATAATGGAAAACCCATTTCAACTTTATGAAACATAATTTAAAAGTGAATTTTCTACCTGTCTGTTTGCTTCCTTAACTAGCTTTTCTTGTAGATAACAAAAAGGTAGAGTATGTAACACAATGATGGTTTAAATTTTACAAAGCATATGAAGAACTCGAAAGAAAGAAAATAAAAAGATAAATAGAGAAAAAAACTTTTGAAACATACACGATTACGGGTTTCTTCCTGCGGTCCAATTTCAAAACCCTCTGCTTCTTGTATTTCGTTTTCTGATGAGTTTTCGTTCAGGATTTTCAGTATCCCATCCACAACAAACTTGACATGTATATTAGTCAAAACGCGGCCAGAGACCTGTGACAGGAAAATCCGGTGCTTGTAAAATTGCATCACTGACTATCAGTCCAAAGCATAAAGAGGAAGAGAAAAGATCTTTGTGATAGTGAAGTTTTGGTAAGTAAAAATATGACAAACCTTTATGCACTCTTTTAGAGAATTTAACACTCTTGCAGAAATTTCTGCGTCATTTTCCTGAGATGTAATAGTGGATTGAAATTTAATTACATCAACTACAAAGAATATAATGAACCGAAAATGATATTGCCCGACATTATTATTTACAGTTGGAAGACTCACCTCCAAGTTTCTTACTAATGCTGTTATAAAGTAGATAAGCTCCTCCTGGATATCTTCCAAAATAACTTCTTGAGATATAGCTAAACGCAATAGGACTGGCATGGCTAGATAGACAAGGTAACAACTGTCACGAGAAAAGCTCATTGCACCAAAGAGGAATCACAAATTGTAATTCAAACTAGTACCTGAAATAGCTTCCATTCGAGTTTCAAAATGTAGATCAGAGTGAAGAAGTGGACGCAAAACCGGAGTAACCTGAACAATTTCAAATCCCACTCAAACACCGCTGAGATAATTGTTTAACATAAATCCGCATCAATTAATTACAACCAACCTGTTTGATCCAAGGCAAAAAGTTTCCCTTAAACTGTCTAGTGAAGCAGAATAGCAATTTACAGGCCAAAGCTTTCTCCCTTGTGAAATGAACCTTAAGATATTAGTATAGTTTGATGTCTTATCTCGGTAATGATAAACACTTCTACTTGCTGCAGATAAGTTGAGAAGCGAATGCTATACCTTCGGTTGACTTCTTTATTGATTTTAGTCTGAGCAGACTGAATCAAGCTAGGCATCAGATCGTCGACATAGATTAAAAAGTCATCCCCTAGGAGCCTACAGAGTTTCGCCAACACCTGCAAAAAAAAATAAGATAAAACATAAGTATATACTCAAGGGGGAACTCATATATTTGATTGGCATAATTTCCAGGATAAAATATGATTAAAATTACCTGGAAGATGGAAACTTTTAACATGTGGTCTGTCTCCAGCAGAAATCCTTGCAGCGAGATAAGAGCTCCCATAACCTTGCACGGAATACATTGAAAAATAAAAAACTCTATCAATTCAAAAGGTCTATCAGTGAATGAAATTCTACTTTCTTCAAGTGTTATTACATGTCTAGAATCGTCTGCAGTATAATTGTCAACTATACATAGTAGTTGCTGTCACAGAAGAAAATTCTAAGGAACCATTACCTCGTCAGCATCATTTGCAAATGTATCCTTTCCAACAACAATTGCAATATAACTAATGCACCCCAGACAATGGGCATGGAGCAATTTCGTAGATGCATTAGCCACACCGAACAAGATAAGTTTAATGGCATCCATGGTGTGGCGATAGTAAATATCAAAGCGGTTCTGCTGGCACAAATATAACATGGTTAGACCAATATTTTTAAACGAGAAAAAAAAATCAGAAAACACGACGGCCAGCTGTGCTAAAACAGATATCAAGGAATACCTCCGACGAGCTTGCAAGTACTCCAAGAGCTGCCAAAACCCCCCATTGTAAAGTTGTATTCCCGTTCTGAATATGCACAAATCAGTAGAGCTCAGAAAGTTAAAACTGACAAAGAAAACTAGATATAAGCATTCTGAACAGATTCGTCTGCTGGATAAAGAACAAGGAGTTCATTAAATTTGATGAAATTTGAGTTCATACCTTAAGATGTGCAAGCAGTGCCTCCACTAACCGGGGCAAGTAAGGTTCTAAATTATCGGGTGTGCAGCCATTGCTGAAGAAACGAATTGCATCAATAGCTTTCCCCTGAAGGTGAATAATTGGTGCATAGAAGCATCAAGTAAATCATACACATGTGGGAATAAAAACAATCGAAAGAGCTAAAGGTGTCAACAAATTGGTAAAATGAAAATATTATTACCCATACGGTGTCCTTCTTTTCTTTAAGCATTTCAGTTAGCAGAAGTAGAATCCTGCGATGATAATGCTCATGTAATGTGGGTGCTAAGTTCACACTGAGTGCCTTAATGGCATCGGTGGCAGCACAACGAACTTGACGGTGAGGATCTTTTAGGCCATCTACAACTATTGTTGCCAATTCCTCAACATGGTTTCTCATAACCTGTGACAACACAATCACCATTTACCACAATCAACTAAAAAAATAAATAAATCCAAAATCCAAATATGCCAAATTAGTAGCTAGCTCACTTCTCTCTAAAATCTAAGCTTCTTGAACTTCTTGAACTTGTCACATATATATACAAAAAGAAATCTTTGTACTTTCTTATGGAGAAATAGCAAATGCTTCTCAATCAGTAAAAATATTTCTGAAATTTCCACTCATGAAGAATAAACAAGCAGTAATATTCAAAATTTGTGAACCCAAAATCCGGAATTCCTAATCCAAGCAACCCAGCAAGCCACTAACTATCATTCGTAACACTAATTACCAAAACTTACTTGCCACTCTTGATGAACCAGAACCGCCATTGGTGTTGTTGAGTGGGTGTGGTGAGTAAAATTTCCAAATTCCTCGTGTTTTATTCATACAAGTTCGTCACTGGGTGCTGTGCTCAAATTGGTGGGTGCATGTAGAAGATGAACTCCAAGTTTCCAAATAAGTTTTTAATGGCAATTCTACGCTTTTACAAAATCAGCAAAAATATTTTATTTTCTTTACCGGTGTGGCTATATACACACTTCTTTTTACTTTTCACATATCTTTCTCAATTTCCGAACTGTTGATCTAATGATTTGAAAAAAATAGAAGTACAAAAATCAACGAAAAGTGTGCGACAAATAAAAATGAATGTATAAATAGTTACAACACCACTATAGAAACAAACCCTAAATTTTTTGATAAATACGACAAGGCCAAATAATCTTTTTCAGTGTCCATTATTGCCCTTTTACTACAGAGCTCTAAGAAACTCCTGCTAATGAGATTTGAACTACAACGAACTCCCGTCAACGAAAATTGTCGACAACAAACTCCCATAAATGAAAATTTTACTACAATAAACTTCTGTGAATGAAAACTGAACTTAAAACATACTTCCGAAAAACGAAGATTAAATGTCACTATACCAAGTGAAGAAAGTAAATCACAAATATTACTACACTTATTATCTCTTTTTTCGAATTCACAAAATTGTAAAAATAAAAATAAAAAATGATAAAATACTCCAATCAAAATATACCTCTTCACACGCATCAGCCGTGGCACAAATAGTAACAAGCCCTGCATGGCGTTTCTGCCATTCCTGAGCCACCGCAAAAACTCCGATCTGATTCCGAACATGACGCGCAAAAATCTTCCCTCCGTGCATAGTCGAAAGCCGGTCCATAAAATACTTCGCAAGAACAGTGCTCTTGTTTTTCTCGACATTTGCAGCCCCCACAAGCACCCTCATCAGGCTGCAGAAAAACCCATCCAAATTCACACGATCCAATCTTTCGAGTTGACGACTCATAATCCTTCTGTTCGATTCGTCGATCTTTTTAAGTACTCTGATTGCGCCCTCTCTGATCACCGTGGCCACTGCGGACTCCGCGATCATAAGCATTGATTCCAACACGTAGTTTAATCGGTCGAACAAGAGTCTCGGCTGCGTTTTAGTCACCATTTGGGTAATAAACTCGAGGAACCTCTGAGTCACCGTTGCGTTTCTCGGGTCAACTTTCGTGGCCAAATTGTGTGTCGAATTGACCGCTGTAGACATGGCCATTCCAAGGCGGGCGGCCCCCAAGAAATACGGCAAAATCTTGAGAAATCTGGACGCCGCCTGGATCGCCGCCGCCCAGGAATCCAAATCAGAGGAATCTCGCAAACGGTGCAAGATTTTCGCCCAAAGAAAATCGAATCCCGGCATCAACCGATTCAAAAGATTCTCTGGAAGATTGCTGAGTACCCTGAATCCCATTTCTTGGACTTCTTGAGTGACGTTGGAGCCGGTAATGGAGACGTAAACATAGTCGAGGAGCTCTTCCCACAGCTGGTCGGAGTCGCTGAAGATTCGAGAAGCGACAATGGCGACGATTTCGGGCATAATTTGAGACATGGGTTGTCCGGTCTTGGGTCGAAAACTGGACAAGAGCGGGGATTTTAGGCCGTTGAGGGTCATGAGTGAGATTTGGGGAACGGCGGGGTCGGTGAGGAGATCGTAGAGGAGTTTCAGTGATTTGCGACGGATTCGGGGGTAGTGGGAGGAGCTGGAGATCTGGGAGAGCTTAAGGGAGAGGGCATCGGTGAATTGGAAAGAGCAGTGTTGAAGGAGGTCTCGTTTTTGTTGGGCAAGGGGGCTGTTTATGGGGAGGAGGATGATGGTTGAGAGTAGAGACTCCATGGGTAGGGGGTATGGAGATTCAAGAAGCTCTCCGGCGTCTTGGTCCAGCTGGTTCATCTGGATACTGGGATTATTGACAGGATCGTTGATCTCCGTCGCAGAAACAGAGAGGGAATGAAAGAATGTTTTGTTTTTGAAGTCTTGAGGTTTTGGAGGGAGGATTTATTTAAGAGAGATATTTTGTTTCTGTTATGATAGTTATAGCCACGTCAGCTTGTAAATGCTTTGGAAGACTCTTTTGACTGTGGTGAGAAATTTATTTTTTGCCTAAAATACGACCGAATACATCAAATATCATAATAAAAGTAAAAGTAGTTGAATATTTTTTTAAAGTATCAAATCACTTGTATACCAAGCTATGTTCTCCAGAGACCAGAAAATCTCTCTGACTATGGTGGGGCTTAAAAAAATGATTTATAACACACAATGCTGGTCAGTTGAATTTAATGCCATTTTTCCGAAGTTTGAGTTTTACCGAACTCAAATACAAATTTTCAGTAGATTTGTTAGTAGGGTAATGCTAATAGGAACGTTTATCAACGCTTAAGTAATAATGTAAGAGTAATGCTAGAGAGACTAAATTTGTAGACAAAATTTAATAAACTAAAGAACATAGAAGTTAATTATTGGTTTATTACTTAAGCGTTAATATATGTGCTCCTTCTTATTGGTTACACATCATTTAATTTGCAAATTTTGTCTTCAAATTTAGTTTCGCTAGCATTATCTATAATATAATCATCAACTTTCATATCATTTAGTTTACAAAATTTTGTCTACACAGTTAATCTCCCTAGCATTGTCTTGGGTAATGAAAAACACTTATATAGAACGGGTACACTATTATGTGGTATTTCAGTCCAATAATATAAGGCCGGCCCTAAGGGTAGCCCAAGTAGGCGCCCACCTAGGGCCCCCACTTCGGAGGGACCACCAAAATATTTTTATATCATGTAATTAACAAATAAATATAGAAAAAGTAAGAAATATCATAATTCATTTGTTAGTTTAGTGGAAATGTTTGGCTTCATTTTTCTTTGGAGTGTTGAGTTCGAAACACGGAGTTGCCTTTTAGTTACTATATTTTTCTTATTTTTCAAATTTACTACCAATCCATCTGTCCAAATGCATATAAAGTTATAAAACTCAAGTCCCTTTGCAACTTTTTTTTCTTCAACTTCTCATTCTCTCCATTTCTATCGAATGTTTAAACCAACTATCACATGGTCTTGAAGATTGTACTTTAAGGTAATCAAAACTTTGAATTTATATTTTGCTTTTCAATAACTTTATTCAATAGATTATTTTAATATTCGATTCGTTAGTGTGATGTTGATTTTAGAAAGAAAAAAACACAAGAGAAACAATTGGTGTTGTTGAATTTATTATACTCGTCAATCAAGTTTTATTGTTTTTTTTAGTACATTTGCGTCTAAAAACATGAGCAGTGTAATGTTTAAGTAATATTTGTATATTTATCTTCTTTTGATATTTAATTTTTAATGATATTTGATGTGGAAATAGAATTTTTTTATATATTTAGCGAATTCTTTTTTATACAAATCAGTGTACATAGAACTGGAAATCGAGAACTTTAGGACCCCACTTCGAAGGCTCACCTAGGGCCCCCAAATTCTTAGGGCTAGCCTTGCAATAATATATTAGTTTATGTAAGTTTTACTTTACATGGTAAAATATTATTGAACTTGAACGTGACAATGATGATGAATCCGTTCCGTACAAATTGCTCTCCTAATTAATTGGCTCATGAGTGCTATTGTGAACAATTTGCTACTATCATGACAAAGTGCACATTCAACAGTATAGATTATCACATTTCTGAAGTTGTTGCACCCAAGAGGTATTTTGGCATGAGGAACCACCTCATTTCTTTGTATACTATCGTCCATAGGATTTTCTTCATTTCTTAATCAAAGGAAAAAAAAAAAAAAAAGGAAGCTAAGAAATGATAGAAGTTGCATTTTTGGACATAACACAAAAACTGAACTCGCTTACTAAATGAGATAAACAAGTTTGGGTTGGCAACAATTCATTTACCCTTTTGACAATCTGTCGGCTCGTTAAACACGGTTAAAATTCTGTTCGTGTTTCGTGTGAATACTAACATGAAAATGACATGGTTCAGTACATTTATTCAAGTGTGTAACTTAGTAATTTATGTAAGATGACATACGTTATTTAATTCGAATGTAAAATAATAAAGTTAAACCCTTTTATTTAATGTAGACATTAGGAAAATCAAATAAGTTCATCGCGTTATTATCGCATTTTAATCATGTGAGATTCGATTTAGAAAAATTAACTCGATTAATAATCTTGTCGTGTTCGGATTGACGCTAAACTTTCTCGAACATCGAATAAAATGAAAATGTAATTGTAAAGGATATGAAGTAATTTCGACCAACAATGATGGCACTTCTAAAACAAAGGCAACAACCACCACCCTCATATCATCAGTCTCTCAACTCTCAGAGGTCAAAAATGGAAAAAAAAATGGCAGAAAATCCAGCAGCGATACGTTTTGGCATAACAGGATGCGCCGACATAGCCAGAAAAGTAGCTCGAGCCATAAAGCTCGCACCCAACGCCACCCTTTACGCTATCGCCAGCCGTTCGATCGACAAAGCCCGGAAATTCGCAGCCGACGGTGGACTCTCCGGAGCCGTCAAGATCTACGGGAGCTACGATCAGCTGCTCGACGATCCATGTGTAGATGCGGTGTACATGCCCCTGCCCACAAGTCTTCACCTGCACTGGGCGGTGTTGGCTGCTCGAAAGAAGAAGCATTTGCTTTTGGAAAAACCAACGGCTCTGGATGTGAGTGAGCTTGATCAGATACTGGAAGCGTGCGAATCCAACGGTGTACAGTTCATGGATGGCAGCATGTGGCTGCATCATCCCAGGACTGCCAAGTTGAAGGACTTGATCTCTGATCCCAAGCTTTTTGGTCAGATTGACATTGTAAGTATATATAATTCTCTCTCTCTCTCTCTCTCGCTCTCTCTCTCTCTCTCTATATATATATATGTTCAGTTTCAGTGTCATATTTTGTGGTATAATTTAGGTTCTGGGCTATGTGATTTCTGTGTTAATTTTGGAAAATTCTTCAGGGCAATGAAAAACTATTTGATCGATAGGACCTCTGCTGACAATCTTAGCCTCTTTTAGAAGATTTAGAATATAATCATTGGAGGTCCTATCGAACACTGCTTGATCCCTCTTGATATTCTAGCAGTGCTCGAAGCCCCTCGATATTTCCCAAAGAAACTTAAATGGTCATTAGGTGAATGTGCAAATTGTTGGATATAAGTCAATATAATTATATCTGCTAATAAATAATAAATGCGAATCGAAAAATTAACAGAGTATGAACAAAACAAAAATATAAAACAGACAACTTTAAGATCGAGATTTGCGTACTGCAATGTTCTTGAAACAGAAATTTCGTCCCTATTCAGTGTTTGTAGTTCTACGGACATCTACTTCACCAAGATTCAACGATCAAGTTAGAATTCCAGCACCAAAAAACTTAACTTCTGGCGAATTTCTGTGTGGTTCTCTAAGTAAAAATGTTTAGGAATGTAGAAGAAGAATTTGATATTTTCAGTGTTCTAAATGCCATGCAAATGGATGTATATATAATATGATTATGTATGTTCACAACAGGTATGAGGAAGGGATGCATCTGTTCGGAGACATCTTCTCAGATGGGTGTTTTCTTTCTGCGTTTTTTCACACTTCAAACTTCATCTGAAATGATGAGTCCGTTGATAAAATAATAAAAAATTAATTAATTAATTAAATTCAAAATTAATTAAAAATAATTAATTAAAGTATTTAATTATTAGAGCCCAAGGCCCATCTTTTGATAATTAATTATATATTAATTATGAATTAATTAGCACATCCCAAAGTTCAACTCCAAGGGTGAACTCAATTTTATTCTCCAAGGTCCATCACTTCAATTACTTTATATAAGGGACAAAGCCTTATAAAATGCGAAAAGCTTGTGATGGTGAGCAATGTGGGATAATGAAATTTTACTCAAAATTTCCAACACAAATATGTACAAGTCTAGTTCCTCCCTCCATCTATTTCCGAGTTTTCCTAGATGTTCCTCTACCTCTTTTAGCATGAGCCTCTATTTCGAAGCATCTGTAGGTCTTCGTTCACATGTCCAAACCACCTTAACCAATTTTCTCTCATCTTATATCCAATTGCGGTCACTCCTACTTGACCTTAGATATCCTCATAAATTGGCAAACTCTCCATAAAGGAAGTGTGTATTATCCCCAGGGTGTTAAAGCATACCATACAGCTTTGCTGAGTACTCAATATGTTTGTTATCAATAAGTATATTGTAATGAATTGAGAATTCTCGTGTGAATTATAATTGGTGTTCTTTGTTCTTTTTTAACATCTTATTGTGCTTTTAAGATCCGTAGCACGTCAACAATGCCAGGAACCCAGGATTTCTTGGAGAGCAACATCAGAGTGAATCCGAACTTGGATGCTCTCGGTGCACTTGGGGACATAGGCTGGTACTGCATTGGGGCCATCTTGTGGGCAAAGGACTACAAATTACCAACTGTGGTGAATGCTCTACCTGATGTCCTCAAAAACTCTGCAGGGGTCATCTTGTCTTGCTCTGCATCAATTCATTGGGAACCCGCAGACAAAACCGTCGCCACAATTCACTTCTCTTTCCTCTCCCACTCGTCCATGGACTTGGCTATGACCGGTTCTAATGGTTCGATGCATTGCAACGACTACATAATTCCGTGCCAAGAGAATTCGGCCTCATTTGACTTTACATCCGGCGCAACATTTGTGGAACTCCATATCGGGTGGAATGCAAAACCAGGAGAAGTTACCGTCATTTCTGAGCTGCCGCAAGAGGCCTTGATGGTTCAAGAGTTTGCAAGGAATGCTGAGGACATTCGGAAATTTGGAAAGCGTCCGGACAGTAAATGGCCCGAGAGTAGCAGAAAAACGCAGTTAGTATTGGACGCGGTGAAGAAATCCATTGATCTTGGTTGTAAGCCTGTTAAGTTGTAGCTAACTTTCTTGGTTTCCTAAGGCGTATGGGATTAATTTGCTAAGAACTTTTATACGTTAGAGATAGTTGTTTTATAAATATTTATCCTGCTGGCTGTTCAGATTAAACGTAACCAGATGTGGGGAGTTTGCAGATTGCTGCTCCGAGACTTGTCGTGATTAGGGCTGGGTGCGGTTCGGATAGGTTCGATTTTGGGTCCGAACCACGATCAAAACCGCACACTGCGGTTTGCCTGAATTCCAAAACACAAACAAACAATATTGGCTTAAAACTGATGTAATCGGTTCACCAATGTTGCCGTGCGGTTTAACATGCACATATTACCAAATTTGAACAATTGTGGGCGACAATTTTGTTGCAATTCAATGCGCTCCCTAAATAACCTCTTAGTTAAAATTTATGGAGGATTCAGAAAAATTTCATCTCTAATCAAGCTCCTTATTATGCTCTTAAGGTATCAAAACTAAATTACTAGGGAAACTAATGAAAATGATTTGAAAGCTTTGAGTTTTAACGGTAAGGACAAAATAAAGGGTAAAGTGAATAGTACAAAGATTGACTTTTTAGTGTAAAAATGTGGTTTTTCATTAAAATAAACAGTACCGAAAGTTTTTCGTTAAAACTTCCTAAATTATTTTGAGCACGTGTTTTTTTCTAGAAAACACTTCAATTGTTTTTAGAACTCAAATATTTTCTCTAAAAATGATTCCAATAATTTTAAAAATACTTCTAAACGAGTCGGTGCGTTTGGTTTTTTTTTTATCTCTTCTTTTCTTTCAGTCCAATCACTACAGACGTCTTTGTCTCTGTCCAATATATAGTGATTTAATCTAATTTTGATTGGTTAATCCGATCCGTTCATCTATGATCGGCAAGTACGATGGTCCCGATAATGATCTTATACGTATTTCGCGCGTACCTCACCTGCGGCTTTAAAAAACCTGACTCGGCCATGTAAATAATAGCAAGAAAATTAAAATCCGAACAAAGTGCGACTAAAAATGATTGCCGCCATTTCCCTCTCAACGAACAAACCTGCCGCTTCAACCAACATAACTGTACCTTCTTCAATCCCCAACGGTCCTCAAAAACCTAGCAAACCTCTACCTTCAACCCTCAAATGGCTCGCCAAATCCGGCAAATTAGACGAGGCCCTTCGCCTGATCGAATCCTCACCCTCCAAATTAACAGCCACCCAGTCGGACATCGAGGCCTACTCCCTCCTCCTCCACACCTGCATCTCCAGAAGATCCTTAGAGCACGGCCAAAGGCTTTATCTCCAGCTTCTCCTCTCCGACGACAGGTGTGAAAACGGCATCCTTCTCCGAAACCCCACCTTGAAAAGCAAGCTCATTACGCTCTACTCCGTTTGCGGCAGAGTCGACGATGCTCGCTCTGTTTTTTATGATGGGGTTGAAGATGGTCAGATGCCGGAGTCGGTGTGGGTGGCGATGGCTATCGGGTACTTGCGAAACGGGTTCTTGGTGGAAGCATTGATTGTGTACTGTGACATGCTGAGCAGGTTAGTCCTGCCGGGTAATTTCGCTTTTTCGATGGCCTTGAAGGCGTGTGCGGAGCTGTCTGAGTTGAGGGTTGGTAGGGCGGTCCATGCCCAGATTGTGAAATCCAGTGAAGAGCCTGATCAGGTGGTGAGTAATGCTCTGCTGCGGTTGTATGCGGAGAACGGGTGTTTTGTGGATGTCTTCAAGGTGTTCGATACAATGCCTGAGAGAAATGTTGTGTCTTGGAACTCTTTGATTGCGAGTTTTGCTCGACGAGACCAAGTGTTTCAGTCATTGGATTGTTTTAGAAGGATGCAAGGACAAGGGATGGGATTCAGTTGGGTCACCCTCACGACGATTTTACCAGTTTGCGCTAGAATGACTGCACTTCATTTCGGGAAAGAGATACATGCCCAGATTGTAAAGTCCACCAAGAGACCAGATGTACCTGTACTAAACTCACTTGTCGACATGTATGCGAAATCTGGAGCAATTGATTACTGTAAGAGGGTGTTTGATGGAATGCAAAGTAAAGACTTGACATCATGGAATACTGTGCTGGCAGGGTATGCCAGCAATGGGTTTATGGAAGAGGGAATGAAATTGTTTGCTCAGATGGTAGAGTCTGGCATCCGACCAGATGGGGTAACATTTATAGCTTTGTTGTCTGGCTGTAGCCATGCGGGGCTTACTGATGAAGGACAAAGTTTATTTAGTAAAATGAAGGAGGGTTATGGCGTGTCACCAACATTTGAGCATTATGCTTGCTTGGTGGATCTGTTGGGTAGAGCCGGTAGAATTAAGGAAGCGTTAGATATAGTGGAAAACATGCCTATGAAGCCAACTGGTAGCATATGGGGATCGTTACTCAACTCATGTCGGCTCCAAGGCAATGTTTCTCTTGCAGAGCGAGCTGCAATGGAGTTGTTTGAGCTTGAACGACACAATCCTGGGAACTATGTGATGCTCTCAAACATTTATGCAAATGCAGGGATGTGGGAAGGTGTGAATAGGGTTAGGGAACTAATGAAGGATAGGGGAATAAAAAAGGAGGCTGGATGCAGTTGGATACAAATAAAGAACAAAATTCACACATTTGTAGCAGGTGGCGGTTTTGAATTTCGTAATTCAACCGAGTTTAAAAGGGTTTGGAGTGAATTGATGGATGCTATGGAAGAGGTTGGATACAACACTGACACCAGTGTTGTCCTACATGATGTAAATGAAGAAACCAAAGCAATGTGGGTTTGTGGACATAGTGAAAGAATCGCACTTATGTTCGCACTTGTCCACACTGCTGCCGGAATGCCAATTAGGATTACAAAGAACTTGCGCATTTGTGCAGATTGCCACACCTGGGTGAAAATAGTTTCAATGGTTACAGGGAGAGAGATTGTTTTGAGAGACACAAATCGCTTCCACCATTTCAAAGGAGGAGCATGCTCTTGCAAGGACTACTGGTAATAAGTTAAATAACACAATTCTTTCTTGCTTCTCTCGACGTTCTGCCACTGTCTTTTTTTTTCACGATTCTTGTTTACAATTTTTTGTGAAGTTTGATTCTTCCTCTTATAAGGACCGATTATATAATAAAATTATGTTATGTTCTAGCATCTTGTTTCTTGTTCAATTTTAAAGAAGTAATCAGGGTCTTCAGAACTGTCTACATCTTCAGGTAAGTTGGTCTCAATCCTTGAGAGTGGTCATCTGTCCATCTAGAAGCTGATGTTGCTTATCCAAAGAGATCCCAACCAAATTCCCGATATCATCTGGTTTGGTTTGCAGATTTTCCATCCTAGATGACATTTCGTCCTCCAACTTTAACGATCTCGTTATCAGTTTCAACAGCTTCATCTCTCAATTTGTCAATTTATTCACCCAAATGGCTGTACGACTCTTGCAGCATTGCCATCCCTTTGTTCAATTTTCTCTTCATTTCTACTTGCCCTTGCAGCTCTGACTGAGAAACTTCGATTTTCCTGGATTGTGACTTTTTTATTTGTTTAACTGATATGCTGGACTTTAGCCATCTGTGCCAAAAAAAAATATGAAAGAGACAAAGGCTCCTATGGACGAGTCAACAGTATTCATAAGTACACTTCACATCTAATTTCAACGATCCGAACCGTCTATTTTTTGAAAAAAATAGATCATCCTTGCAAAAATTCAATTCAATCCGAAACCATTTGCTTATTTAATTATCAATATCAAATTTCATATTTTCTTATATAACAAAGTATTCGTTCATTTCCTTGAACCCAATTAGATGTCTTAAACATTTCCAATTTAGCTAATACTTTGCAAGGATGATCTATGAATCGAGACTAACAAAATAGACGGTTCGGATCGTTGAAATTAGATGTGAAGTGGGTCCCACACCTAATCCCCATTTTTTTCAAAAAATAGGGATCCCTCCTTAAGCTCTCTGTCATAAGTGATCTAAACTCATGGAGATATATCCTTGGTTGCATATAAGAATATTTTGTGTGTTTCATTTACAGTCTCTTGCTTTTTTTGTGCGAATCAGCCCACTTCTATGCTGGCCCACTTTTTTTTTTTTCTTCTTTTCATGATTCGTATATTTTACTTCCTTTTTTTTTGGTGAATATGTTTTACTTCATTATTTTGTTATTTATGTATTATTTATTATTTTTATTCTTATTAATCTCTATGTATAAAGGGAAAAGACCACTAAATTGTTATTTATGTATTATTTATTATTCTTATTCTTATTCTTATTTATTCTTATTATTCATGATTCCTATATTTTACTTCCTTTTTTTTTTAGGTGAATATGTTTATTTATGTATTATTTATTATTTTGAATGAAGTCAAACTTGAGATCTTTCACTTATAAATAAAGAATAATACCACTAGATTAATTGTAGTGCTAACCCATACTCCATAGACTCAGCCTTGACTAATTATTACCATTGCGCATAACTTAAACTATTTTTGAAAGATTTATAGCTCAAGTGGTGATAACATTTAAATGTAAATATCTTCATAAGTAAAATTCTCTTACAATGAAAATTAGTTACACTTGTTATATAGGAATTTAAATATTCGTATATAATCTTTCATTAAGGATTTAGAAAATGAACAGTTCACATTACAAGATTAGATTGTGTAGAGCGTTGAAATGAGTGGTTAGCATTGTATTAACTTACTGGTTAGAGCTTGAGCGTTAGACTAGTACCACAGCAAACTAAAACAATTTATATAAAATCCAAGTTAAGGAGCGCTGAAATAATCCTCATACTCATACAGCTCTTATACAATTTGAAAAGGTAAAAGGCAACAATAAGAAGAAAAGAAGACTTGCAGTCATATGGCTCATGTGTTTCTCAATGTACAAACTAAGAGCAACAAACATAAACCTTTCAAAGTTTCAGTGTGAGATCTGGTGCAGAGTGGTCTATGGCGTCTAATGGCGGTGTAACGTCTACAAAATTCAAATTTGAACTTTCATGAGTCAGTACAAAACTTGGGTGAGTAGTGTTACTTGTGTCGGCAGCGCTAGCCTGGCGGAAACTACCAGGCCACAACAGCTGCGCCCCATCATTCACCAAGAAAATTGGCACTCCCATATACCCGTGTTCAAATCCTGCGCCGCTTCTGGTCTCAGGAGGCCTCATTGGTGGTGCAAATCCTTGATGCACTGATGAGTGTGCTCTGATACCTAGTGATCTAAATGAAGGTCCTTGCAGAGGCAAAGACGCCAGGCTTGCGTGCCTCTCAGAGAAAATACTCATTCGCAATGCGCACTTTGCTAGTGTCCTCTCTTTCTTGTGTGCATTTTGGTGTCCACCAAGTGCCTGTGAGCTCAAGAATTTGCTTCGACAGTAATTACAAGAAAAAAGTCTTGGAGTCGCTGAATTCGTGTTCTGAGACGCAGGCTCATTGCTGCTCCCACTTGTGCTCAACAATGACTGTCCTATCGAATCACTTCCTCCCAAGTCCTCATTGTTGAAGCGAAGAGTTAAGTCAAGGGAAACTGCAGGCTCCAGTACTTGCTGAGCTGCAATGGGATTTGAAAAATGGAAAGAGTTAGCCACGCTGTCGTTGGAGGTGTTAGAAGCAATTTGGCTGCTAACATCAGAGTCATTTGCCGATGAGGCTTCCACTTCAAGGTCAATATATGTGTTCATGATTGACTGTCCTTTTAGTTGAGGGGGGGATAGATTACATATCAGACTTGAAATAACCGGATTAAGCCGGTCTAGTAAGGACTCTCTGATCTCTATCCGATCTTATACATCCTGCAATTTTGGAAACAAAGAAAGCTCAAATGTTAGAGGTAATGTGCACTCTCCTTTACCTGAATGAAATGAAAGATCATGAGTAGTTGAATACTGCTGTCTGCAGTGTAAATTTATTGATCTATCGGAACTACTTTTTATGCTTTGATCGATTGCAGTTTAACTTATGAGTTTGAATTTTACCGAAACATAATTTGAAAGGTGAGCAATGAATCTCCGGAGCATAGAGGGAAGCATAGAGGGGAAGCATAATTGATTTCTCAACAAAATCAGTCATCTAATGTTACAAGCGCTTCGAAACTTAATCCTTTAACATTGTTTAAGCGTCAATGTTATGAGTTATCATAAAAATAACCAGGGTTCTCTCACAAAACAAAAGTTTCCTACGGAAGTAAGATTCATCTCACCCTAAACCTGTTGATTATCTACTGATCCTCGAACCGTAAGCAAGTTTTTGTCGACGGTTTTAGAGAATGATCTCATTGTCTCTATCAAGAGGGAATGAGGTCACGATTCTCAACATAGATTGTAGAAAAGACCTAGGAATTTCATGAAGCACACAATCTCTATTTAATCCTTGTATATTTTCCGGACAATTTTAATCTTGTATAGAAATATGAAATAAAATAGACAAAAACGTGTTCTTTAGACTGGTCGAAAATCAGATGCTATTCCAGAACCTAGGAAATTAAGGAGGAGATGCAGGAAAATTTATCAAAAGACCACTAGTCACATAAAAATTTCAAAGTCGCCTAGCATAGTATTACTATCAAGATTTTAGAGGGACAGACCAACAGGTTAGTACTAATATGATGTGGATGATATTCTCAACTGTGGGAATTTTGTCAATTTTCCTATGTGGAATTACCTACTCTTCAACAATCACAACTCCAAAACCAGGCACGACCACAAATCAGCATTGGTACACCATAAAAGACAAGATCAACTGGTGATTTTTGTATACTATCAGTCGCGTACATGTATATAAACAAGAACATGCAGAAAAAGAAAGATGAGCAAAGAAAAGTATAGCATTTATCTGGTTGAAGATCAAGTACAATTGGCTAGCTCCTGGAGTCCATAGTATTGCAAATGCCTGAAATTAGCAGACATCTACCAGTTGAGTCTTATTATATAAATGCAATTGATCATCTCAAAACAGTTCACTACTTAAATAACAAAACAAAAGAAAGTAGAAGAAAAAGGAAAAGTAGTGAGATTTTGATGATATGGTAAAGCAAAAGGTAGGAAGAGGACAGTGGTGGTGGTGGTGGGGTTGTGGGGGACAGTGGTGGGAGGTCAGAGAGAGTACTAGGAGGAGAATGGACCAGATAAAGTGTAGTTGGGAAAAAAAATAGAAAGAAGGGGGAAGAATATTATGACATATTACTACTACTACTTATCTTCAGTCTTTATCGGGAGAATAACTTATATAAAATAAGTTTACTATTGTGATGTTCTGATCTGATAATGCAATGTTATGTGATGAAAAAGTTACACGTTGAAATATATTATTAGATCGAAACATCACATGACAATGAACTCGTTTCATGTAATATTTTCTTATCTCTCAACCATTCTATCCTAAATTGTTGATTTTTGGGCCACTGCTTAATGCTTATCCAGACAACTGACTCTGCAACCATGATAGTACAACAATTAGAAAGGAGAAGCAAGAGCCAAGCCAATTGCAAACAAAGCCAGTCCCGCTCTGAGATTCTCTTTCACTCTCACTTTTCAAGTGTTTGAATTGAGATAAATCCATCATGCATGGGTCCGGCCTCCTTTCATTCATCATATTCACTGTGCACGTCCAGCCTAACATTAACCTACCTTTTTTTTTCTTTTCTTTTTTTTTACGACTCGTAGTTCAAATAGTTTAAAGTATATATATTTTTTCACGTGAAATTTTGGGCTCGATTCGCGCATCTCTCATTGGAAAACAACAACAAAAGCTACTTTTTCTTTGCTAGGATATGCCTGCATGTAGTGATCACACAAAGCTAAATATGCCAATATTTGTAATATATAAAATTTTCGACAAGTCCACCCACTAAAATTTCAAGAGAATTCAATTTAGGTATTGCCACTCCCATTACCTCATATTAATTAATCTTTTATGCATCAAATAATTTCTTTAAATATTCTTTAATTCACAAATAGAACACTCTAATATTGATTGAAATAAAATCTCAATCAGATTACAGGAATAGTAAAAAACTACATGCATTAAAGGAATGATGTTGATCCATTATTAGTTACTTTTATACTCTGGAATCCCCGATTTTTTTAAATCTTTATTTATGACTCTATATTCAGCCATTGATTGTTTTGGTGTATGCAATACATCTAAACATAAAAGAAAAGAACTAAACTCCATATGTAACCCTAGCAGTATCGATGAAATAGGGGTAGAACCAGAGCTAAATGGAGAGTTGAAGTTCCAATTATTTGACGAAATAACAACAATAATTCTCAAAAGAAAGAGAGAAAAACGTGTGTGACAACGTGGGACTGTGCATGGATAATGCAAAAGAACAAAAAAAAGTACGGAACTAACTCTTAGTTATCGTATCCTCTAATGCTCAACTAGCACAGCGACATACCTATAACTAGCTAGGTAGTAGGTACTACAAGCCTAAGGGCTCCTGGCTCTAAGCACATGTTTAAAGAGGATTCGTTTTTATTTCAAGATGAATTAAATAATCTGGTTTTTCATAGAAGTATTGTATTAGGATGTGTTATTCACACAACTCGTTTTATTTTCTATATATCGTTTGTTAATTTTGTTTATATTCTTTAATTTAATTGCTTTGATAACCAAAAATTAAAGGGGTGTGCTATCAACACACCTCTTTTTACTTCTCACACACCCTTTGTTATTTTCTGTCCGTTGATCTTCTTCAATTCATTCGACCCAACCGTCAAAAATTAAAAGGATGTGTGAGAAGTAAAAATAGGTGTGTAAATATCACACCCCAAAATTAAAAAGTGTGTGAAAGATAAAATGTGTGTGGATAGATCCACCTTGTGTTGGGAAGCCATGAAAAGTGGAGGAATCCAACGATGGGTTTTTGACATATTGCATGCTCACGAGACCTTGAGCATAAACAATGAACTAGTGAATTTCCCAAGAAAAGGGGATAAAAAAAAAACCGAAAATGAAAAATTAAAGTTACTTTTTAAGTTTTCAAATTTGGACTCAATTTTCTAATGAAAATTGAAAACAATTTTATACAAAAATGAGAACTACAATAGTTACATGTTGTTGCCTATATTTAACTGACAAGGAGAGGGGGCCGGCGGCACAGAGAGAAAAGAGAGAGATGTGTTTGTAGGGTTGTGTAGAGAAATGTGTTACTTCCCCTTTCGCAGTACCTCTATTTATAGTAATAAGAATAATTAGAATCCAATCAAATTTAGGATTTACACAATCACACTTAAACTAGAAGTTAACAACATACCAAACATATTTTAATTTTCACTGACTTGATCATACCATTTGCAACGTAAACGAACATGAAGATTGAACGTTTTAGCAATAATAATAGATAACAAATGAAAACTACATTCCATCATTTAATTTATGAGATTTTGCTAAAAATTAGAGTTCGATCACTAGTGTGTGTGTGTGTTTTTAATCTTAACAACTAATTACGACGATGCTATTACATTACCATTTGCCACAAAAGCTTTATAAATTTTATTTTTTATTAAATATTGAAGCTATTACAGAATAGGTCAATAATGTATATCAAAATTATGCAGGTTAAGCACGCATTGGAAGACCAATTCCCCACCACCAAGCATCCAACCACTAGAGTTTTCTTGAAGATGTACATCATAATTCACTACTTAATTGCACATTCTTCCACTAAGTTAGTGACTCCTTTCTTTATTCTCATGCTTCATTGCTTTAGTTTTAATAACATAAACATGTTGCATATATGTCAAGATAATTTAAGATCCGATGTAAAGTTTTTATGGCCAATCTAATGAAGCATATCCACTCCATTATTATTTCCCTAACTTCATATATAGAAGTCAACCGAAAAGAATTTATCTTTCGTGTCTTCTAAACTTCAAATTCGAATACGAACCTTTCGCTTTTGTGAGTTGTAGCATAGGCTTTCCACATTATCCCCTACTATATTCAAGCGATTCACCGGTATTATCTTAATCGAATATTTACTTACAACCAACGACTTGAAATGAACGCTTATGATTCTCATTTATGTGTTTATTAACAATCAAAGAATGAAAAGCCAAGGTATGAATTTACGTACGGGAGTTGTTTAATCTCGTACTCAATCGTTTATACTCTCATTCCTTCTCATAATAAATAAACATTTTCTAATTGGAATCGATGAAATTAATACAAAACTACCTTCCTTGGCCATGGGCATCGAGTGCGACGACTTAGAGCCTCAAATCGAGGGGGCCCAAAAAAGTATGTTGTTTGAAGGATAATATAATTAAATAAAAAACAATTGTGATTAAAATTGATGAATTGTTCTTTGATTTAAGGTATACCAAGTTACTACAATATATTACATGGAGAGTAACATGATTGAAATTGAATCATGTTTCTCAATAACGATAATCTGGAAATGGATTGTTATTCACCAATTAATACAAAATAAAAATATTGTAATGAAAAAATTGTAGTAACTTATTTTAACAAAGGGTCATTTCTGACTCTGATCGGCCTAAAGGAACACAAGCCCAAGGGGGCATGGGCCCAAAGGAAATTCAAGGTCCAATGAACATGGAAAGATAAGGCCGAGCGCTTTTAAGGAGCCCATGGCCTCCTAACATCTTTTTAACAATCAAGCCGAGCGCTTCTTCATAAAGCGTCTTCCGAGCACTAGAGGGCAAGTTGGATACTGACAAATTTAAGGCACGGGCTCTCAGAAATAAAAGGGGCAGGTCTAGTCATACATTAATTTCAGGCCACGTGACGGCCAGGCAAAGGAACAAATGCCTATGAAGAGACATAAAGGCTACCATGTAGGACACTCAGGTGCCAGTTCCTACCAACGCCAGGGCCGAGCAAGGCTCTCGGCCGCTTCATCTCAAGAATGGACACAAGTGGACTCGTGCGAAGGCACATTGTTGCCATGTGTTGGCCAAGAAGATGAGGGACAATTGGCAGGTCTAATATGTGCGTTCAACGCATTAAATGCAAAGGAAGTGATAGGTTCGAGCAAAAAGATTGAAGACTAAAAAAATTGCCTATATAAGAAAGACAATGACCCCTTACAGAGGGTCAGACGAATTGAGAGAGAAATTGTACAATTTTGGCCTAGTGCTACTTGTAACTTGTGTTCTCAGTTTCTATAAGAAACTCAATGAACGTAGCTAATTTTAAGGGGTGAACAACTTAAATTCTGTATCTAATATCCTTGTTTGCAAAGCCCAAGTACATGAAGGACAAACACTTTGACCAATTCAACATTTGTTAGCGAGCGTTAACAACTTATAATACATAAAAGAATTACATATATTTAATCATATTTCATCAGTTAGTACACATTTTCAAAGTAATAATGTATGTGAGCTCCTTTTATTCGCACCTTAAATCACTCACATCCAAAATGCAATGAAGTGCGTTCAATTATCTTAGTCAAAATAATAAGTAATTGAATAAATGAACATCTCCTAATGTCTCATCGAAAATTTCTCTTGTTAGTATGGCTCAACCACTCCGTCTTTGTGTGGTGGGTTTATTCTTGTTACCCAAACTTAAAAATTAGGAGAGAAAAAAAGAAAATCGTATTATTAGGGCTAGAAGAACGCAACCACTTATTTGGGCCACCATGTTCATGCGATATGATTGTTTCAATCATTTACCTTACTTGTGATTTCAAAGTTACGTAACACTCATTGTTATAAATGTTTTAACTGTACCACTTAATTTCAATTATTTATTTTCTATACTACTTAATTTATGTGGTTAAGATAGTTTGGACATGTGAACTGAAGATCTCCAGATGCTCCGGTTAGAAAATGCGATTATGAGACATACTCTCAGCAAAAAGATAGAGAAAAA